ATGGTTTTGACGGGGGGGGGGGGGGGGGACAACAACACACGACACAGGCTGGAACGGGGTGACAAAAACCTGTGGTGACATGAGTTACAATCAACCTTACTACGGAGTTTCCTGGTTTATAATCAGAACCAGATGTACCGCACATTTTCTACTCATTACTCCTGTGTTAACTACACAAAGTATGTGCATAATTACTCATGTTGTTTTCAGTTTGGCATATTGGGATATCAAGTCCTTTTTAAAAGGTCAGGGAACTCTTATTTTTAGCTAAAAGGAGCATGCTTCTCACATGTAATTACACTAAAACATCTGCTTAAACTTTACTGTAATTCATGGATAGAAAAGAGAGAAGACTAAGACAGCATAACAAATAATAAAGAATGGAATTACCTCTGAGACAGTCGGTGAGTAAAATTAAGATCAAGAGGTAGGTGAGGGAGGGAGGCTTCAGTTTTGAGGGTTGGTGGTATGACAACAGTTGTTATAAAATTACAAGCAGGTTAATGCAAGGTAGTTTAAGAAAACTCTGGATTACGCAGGTAATGCGGCCATTAGGTCAACAAATCCCTTCAATGAGGAAGAAAAAGAGATCACAGAAAGGCAGAGTAAGAGGGACGTTGATGGGTCACGTTGAGAATCTTGGCCCAAAGTTATAAAGGTATTAAGGACTGAACAATTTACTTTAAGAAAAAGATGATCAAACTCTATGAAAGCACAGGCAGTAACTACACCAAGTGTAGCTTCAGTGGAAGAAGTAACTCAGATTCTTCCTAGACACCGAGTACTTCCCCCCATGCATTTTACCAATTACTCTGTTACATAAAGAGCATTTAAAAGTATATCCATGGACCTAATTGTTGCTTTATAGCAGCATTGCCTGATTTCAAGCTTCAAAATTCTTCTGCTGCTTCCCGCTTCCCCGACTGCTGGTCATGACTAGCCAAAATATTCCCTGTATGTTGCATTCTAATGCAGCGGCATTTTCAGATCCAGGACATCCCTTACTGAACTTCACTAGGTCATTTATGGAATTTGCACCTGCTGAATGTGGCACACCAACGCAGACCTTCACGGTTTAGGTTCTAATACATAAATTGTATTCAACATAAATAACAAGCTTTGCAGTGTTCTCTATTTTTGTAAGCAACAAGGAAGTCTCTTCTCTCTAGGTAAAGCTAGTGTTGTTTTCCAGGAACAGAAACGCTCCCCGAAAGCCAAGCGATTTAACATAAACCAGACAAGTAACGTTAAGTGCCCCCCCCCGATGTCAGACAACTCCGGATATGTTTGGTTTCTCCTTATACAGAGCTGGGGGGGGGAGGCACCTATGCTGCTTTGGTGCTGGCCACTACTCAACAAGTAAGAGGTAACAGCAAGTGAGCATATAAGCAGCAAAACTGATGTGCAGAGTTGTGAAACGATCTTGCCATCGCTCCATCCCTCAGTATTATACTGAATTAAAAACATTCAGTTTATTTTGGAACAGTATTTGACCTTTAGAAATACCACCTTCTAAAAATCCCCATTATTGAGTAACTGATTTTGGCATATCGTTTCTCAATTTATGGTGACTTCTAAATGAAGCACTTAAAACCAGAAGCATAGCTTGTCTGGAATAATCATAGACTTAAGATTGCTATTAACTATGCAATTCTTTAGTTCCAGTTAATCTAATTAAGAACTGAAAAATCAGAGTAAGAGAGCTCTAACGTACCATTAAGCTTTGTAAAAATTGTTTCCTTATCTGTTTCAGAAGACAGCTTCCTTTTTTTTTCCGTCCTGAACTTCATCATACTACCAAGATTCAGTTCCCTGCTCAATGTTTTTATTATCTGTATCATCATTTCTGCTAAGAACCCCACTCATTGCTCAGGCTGTACAGTGCCCATCCGCAAGGCAAGCGGAGCAAGAACACCGACCCTGCCACAAAGAATTTCCAATCTATATATAGACGAACGGACAGGCAGTGGAGTACGACGAAACACAATGACACTGATCAGCACACCAGGCAGTGGAATCAACAAACCAGTCATTCGTGCTTTTTAAGGTAAAGGGCTTTTTACAGAGTTCTCTGAAGAATACTGGGGCTGCTGTGCAGATTTGTATGCAGACCTTTGCTCAAGCTTAGGGGAAAGCAAGGAAAGAGTTAACGCACTCAGCTGAAAAGTGATGTGAATACTGTACTTGCTGCTGGGAGCTGGCATCTTACCGAGGAAGTTACTGACAGAAAATAGTTACAGGTTCTGGAGGGCCCTCAGAAACGAAAACAAGTAACTTAGCCTTTACCCAGTGGAGAAGGGGGAGTCAGAGAAAGGATGCAGAGTTTTAACTATTTTTAATCAATATAAAATCATCTGTGTAAAAACCAGTCAAAGCCATGCTGCAATTAACTTCTTTCAGTGTGCACAAGATAGCTACAGAGCCATCTGACAGTTCTTGGGTGAAGGTCTGTAGAACTACCATCAGCATTAGATTCTTATCATCGCAAAAGGGACACAATTAAGCCAGTACGCATCTCCAACCCCTCTGTTCAAGACCCAAGGTCAGCACAAATTGTGGTGAAAGCATGCACACACACAGGATTTCTCCCACTTGAAGAGTAATGCAAGACCACTGCATGCTGTATTACTCTAGCACAGGTGGAAGCCACTGGTACAGAGCTCGTCAGCTGTCTTGGTAACAGCCAGTTAGTTCACTTACAATCAAGTTTCTATGCCAGAGGAGTACACACAGCACAATAAGGCAAACTATTAAAATTTAAACAATAAAAAAAGTGGTGTTATTTAATTCTTGTTCTATACAACCTCCATCTCTTTCCCAAAACACAGGTGAAAATAAGGAGATGAGATTTTTTTGAAAGTACACAATGGACAGTTTCAAAAACAAACTTCACTTTGCCTAGGATCTGTAAAGCAGTGCAAAAACAAGGACAACAGTTTGATTTGAAACAAGTTCTCCATAACAAAGAGCGAATACAGATAATGTAAGCTACATGAAAAAAGCTACAGTTCACATTACATGACTGGCCCGATTGAGTTTTTTGTCATGACTTGTAAAATAACAGTAAGAAGAAACAGCACAAAGGCTTTTTCTTAATAAATTTTAATGTTAAGACCAGTTTGTCTGGATAAAAACACAAAGTTACAAGAACCACACTACTGCAAATTCTGCATGATGCACAGTAGTGCTCGCAATATTTGAGTGGCAAGACCATTTTGGAACTGTTTACGAAAGATAGGTCAAAGAGAATCTTGGCATCAGTAAGAACATATGTTACCAGTAAATTTAATATTGTGAAAATATCTCTGTCCCACAAGGTACACCACTGTAAGTAGTCAAATGCAATATTTATGCACATCAAAAATATATGGGGCGAATACTCAATTTAGCATTTAGTCAGCAACAGTGAATGAGAGAGAAATATTTTGTTTTTTCTATGATGTCATTTCACTGGAAATTTCCTAGTAAATCACTGCAAAGGGTAATATTTGTGGTTCAAAACCATCAGGACAACAGTAATTCTGTAAAACAGTAGTTTCTGACCTTCTGATAGTGACAGCCCAACCCCCCTGCCACTAGATTCAGATGCATTTGGCTTGTGCTCACTGCCTTAGAACATGAGTCCAGACACCAAAAAATGAAC